TAGCAGATTGGAAACTGATTCAAAATCTCTTAAATGGGACTCCTGTGTGCTAACAAATGATGTACGTGTTTCTCTTGGATACTGCAGCGATGGGGACATCTGAAACATCTGAGCCCCAGATACATGTCATAGCTTCAGTAGGCCCAGCTTACTGTACATACAAGGGACTCCTGGCAGCCCTCCATTCCCCCCTCAAGCTTCCTGTGGGCCACCCTCCCATCTATTTTAGAGACTCTCTGCAACCCACTTGCTCCCAGCCTCATGCCATAGCTGTGTCCCCCTCATACCATACCATTCTTGCACCCCATCATGGGTTTTGTGCGATTCCCCTGTTCCCTACCCCCAAGCCAGAATTCTGTGTACACCCCCTGTTCTGTCCATACCACCGTTCCCCACCCGCCCCTGCCATGGCTCTGTGCCTTCCCCCGCATTATTACTTCTCTTCTTTCTGTCTGGGAGGTAAGAAAGTCAGGGTGTCAACATGTTGAAATCTATTGGGAGAATGGGCAAAGGGATGAAATCGGGGTATTGTTATGTCAGAAGGTGTTAACTCCGGGTTTCTCAAACTGGGAGTCATGACCCCTCAGAGGATCACGAGGTTATTACATGGGGAGTCGCAAGCTGTCAGCCTCCACCCCAAACACTGCTTCACCTCCAGCATTTATAATAGTGTTAAATACTTTTTAAAAAGTGTTTTTAATTTATAATGGGGGTTACACTCAGAGGCTTGCAGAGTGAAAGGTGTCAGGTTTGAGAACCAGCGTTAACTGGTATTAACCAGTACCTTGACCTACAGACTATTGCAGCGGTACTTGAAGCCGTGGCACCGCTAGACAGACAGCAGGGCTTCGGTGTGTCCCCAATTTTCCCCCTCTGGTTTTCCAATTTTCCCCAAAATCAATAGGATTCTGCCCATTGATTCCGAGAACACTCCCTGAAATTCTGGAATTAATTGAACATGGGATTCAAAAGTTATTGCATTACATGCCATCAAGTTGCACAAGCTTGGCCAATTAAGATTCATGTAGTTATAGTGGATACTACTCTTAACCTCTCAGCAGGGTTGGTAGTTGCTCAAGGTTTGGGAAGGGTAGTTTCCTTTCTCTCTCTCTCTCTCTCTCTCTCTGTGTGTGAATTCCTTGTTTTCTATTATTGCAATTTAATCTGAAAAAGATCAAGTTTTGGCTCAGCCTTAGGGTAAAATTTTCAAAGGTGCCTGAGTCGCGTAGGCCCTTTGAAAACTTTACCCTTAGTCCGATGTCAATTTTGTTTTGTTTTTTAAGTCAGCTGGCCTTCACTTTGCAGGTCCTGAAATTCTAAAGGTAATGAACCACTTTTAAATATATATTCATGTTCTATTCAGGATAATGTGTTTTTTAGACTGCTGAGCTGAGCACATACTCTTAATCTCCCCTTGGACCCACTTCAGAGTATCAGCCGTGTTAGTCTGTATTCACAAAAAGAAAAGGAGTACTTGTGGCACCTTAGAGACGAAACCAATTTATTTGAGCATAAGCTTTCGTGAGCTACAGCTCGTGATGCATCCGATGAAGATGAAGTGAGCTGTAGCTCACGAAAGCTTATGCTCAAATAAATTGGTTTTGTCTCTAAGGTGCCACAAGTACTCCTTTTCTTCTTGGACCCATGACACTGGATGTGTTTTCTCAGTCCTTCAGGACTACGAAGTGCAGTTCATAAAAAGTAAAGGCTTCCATGTAGTCGGAAGCTAACCTGGTAATATTATCGGAGTACAACAGCCAAATAGAGAGCCTTATCAGGGTGGAGCAAATCTTGCAAATACAAGAAGCTCACTGAGATATACTTAGTACAGTTCCCCCCATCACCAATATTCCTACTCAAGTACAGATGAAAGACTTACCTGTATGAGTTCGAATATGTTGAATATAATTGTTCTTCCTGTCTGAAAAATAGGAGCACTGGGAGCATGTGTACACCTTTCTAGGAAAATGATTTCTTAGATGTTTCTTCCAATGATATTCACTGACTGTAGTGTAAGTGCATATGGTGCACTTGTAGACTCTCTCATTTTCTCCTGCTTTGTTGTGGTGTTTCAAGTGAGCCAGATAGTGATCATATCTGTTAGTGTTATAGCCACAACGATCACAACGAATAGGCCCCTTAGAGAAATCTGCCTCTTCTGTTGTACAAGAATCAGATTCTTTGACCTGGACTTGCTTCTCTGCATTTTCTTCTACAATGAATTTTTTGGCACTGTGAACCCTAATGTGATGCACAAACTCTTCCTCACACTCTGCTTCATACTGGCATGGCTTGCAACGAAATGGCTTGCTCTTCAAGCTTTTACATTTGTCCTCCGCACTCTCCGAAGTATCTGGTGCTTCCAATGGGAGGTCCTTCTCCAGACTGCAAGTCTCAGGAGTAGGGCAAACTGCTGGACCCTGGGTTTCCACACTAGGAATTTCAAGAGACCCTAATTCCATGTTTTCAGGTTCATCAGGATCACTGTCCACTCTCTGTGTATCTTCCATACCCTCTCCATCGCTGTCTGAAAAATTGCTGTCACCTACAGTTGTCAATTCAGCCATTTGCCTCTCTTCTCCAACCAGGTAATCACAGCAGCTGCCATTAACTTCTCCTGTCAAGGCCACATTTGCCAACATAATAAGCTGAGGGGCTGCCAGCTCAGCTTTGGAAAGGTCATGCAAGTCATACATGTCGTTAGACAATGCCATACTGATGTTAGCATTGCCAGCAAATAGACTGTTCCCACCAGACTGCCCCAACACCTGAGTTGCCATAACAGCAATTCTGTCAAAAAAACAAAAACAAAGAGCACCAGTAAAAATCTAAATTACAAATACAAAACATCCATTTTGTAATACCCAAAACTAAGAGTGTACTTCAGAAACCTCTGAAAATCTATCCAAGACTGTCAATTATTATTAAACACAAATAGAATAAAAACAAAAAGATTTGGTGAGTTATCTCTTCTTTAGATTAGATAAATATTGTATTTTATTAATTGAGCAAATACTAATTCATTTTTCTTTAAAATTATTTTTACTTTTTACTCACAAGTATGAACTCACCCTCTGAAAAAAACTGCCTTAAATTTTCTTTATCATTTTTTTAAAAAAGTCTACTTTAACTATAATCTAAAACAACTTCTTGATTGCTTTACACTATCACGAGACACATTAGCTTTATAAAATATTACTCATTGTTGAACTAAATTTAGAATATGTCTAAAGATATATTTCTGAATCCCTTCCCCTACCCCCTCTCATTCAAAGCTGGAAGTCGCGTATTCCCATACTTTACAGGCTACCCTCTTTGCAAAGAGACTCATTTTGCATCTGCTTTCACAAAAAAATCTGAAAGCTCTCTTTCTGAACTTTAGAAGAGTTATGTGAAGTTTGTGAGAAATTGGGAGAGAGCTCTCTTTCTAGTTTCACTTCTCCCATGAATCCAAATGCTTTGGCGACTGTAAAAGCCATGCTGTGCCTCCATTACCTATGCAGCCATGTCTTAGAATGTGGAAGACTGTGATAACTGGTCAATTTAATTGAATTTGGTCATCACAACTTCCAGAGCTCTTGACAAGTTAATCAGTTCTGTTAATTTCTTCAAGGCCTCTTCAATCAAAGAAGACCACAATAATTAAAACTGTGAGAGAATGAGTGTGATTTTTGTTGGGTTAAAGACCCAGAGAGAAGAATACAGAAGTTACGTTCACCATACTAAAAAGCAAAGTTACTATCAACAACTTTTCCGTATTCGGCCTCCTTTGACTGAGGACTCCTGCTGGAGGGCAAACATCGAAAGCTGCATTTTCAAAGCAACAAATGCCTTTATTTTCAGCGCTCAGCACAGACTTTTCAAGTTCCATTTGGTTTCTCGGAGAGCCAAGTGAGGTCGGCTCAGCCGCGGAGTCGAGATGAAACCAGACGCAATCCGCTCCCATGACACAACATTTCCCCTCGCTCGCACCCCAGCCCCGGGAAGCACAGTCGCTAGCTGAAGCCCCAGATCAGCACGCCGGCCCGCTGCCCGCTAAAGCCCGGCGTGCCCGCCTCCGCGGGGCCAGGCCCAGCAGCCGACCTCCGCCGGCCGAGCCGCCAGGCCCCGCACGCAGGGCCGGGCCGGGCCGGGCCGGGGGGCCGCCCGCTGCCAGATTCCTGCGTGTGGCGGTGCCAGCAGCACCGGCGGCGCCTGCATTCCACAAACAGGCATTCGGCCATTTTCTCCGAGACCCAACACAAAGCCGCTGCCGTCCCCCCGCGGCCCCGCTCACCCCGCAGCCTCGGCCGCCGCCGCGCCCCGAGCGGCCCCCGCCGTGCGGCCGGGAGCGGGCAACTTCCCCCCCGCCGAGCGCGGCGGCTGCTTCCCCTTCCTCGCGCGATCGCCCTGCAGGCCCCCGGCCCCCGCCCAGCCCCGCGGGGCAGAGCCGCCCACGCCCCCCGCGCCCCGGCCCAAGGTCACGCCCCCGCCCCCCCCGCTCGCCCGCCGCGGAGACCCAGGCCCAGCTCCCGGCAGGAAATCGCTGTCCAGCCTCCCGGACCGCGAGGCCTGGGGCTCCCGGCGGCGCCGAGCCCCTTCCGGGGCTCTCCCGCCCGCCTCGACCGCCGCTTCAGGACCAGCGGCCCGAGCAGCTCCGCCGGGCGCAGCGCGAGGCAGGCCCCGGCCCCTTAGCCTTGGTGCTGATCGCCCGCCCCGGCCGGGCCTGGCCGCCCCCGCCGGGCTGCCTCGCTGCAGATCAGCCCTGGACAGCGCCTCTGGCTGCCCGCGCCGCCGGGCCAGCCCGCTCCCCGTGGCACTCACCGGCGGGGCCGGGCCGCCGCCCGCCCGGGCTTTGCCCTGCTCCCGAGGGCTGGGGGCCGGCCTCAGGGCGCGGGGCGGCCGCGAGTCTCCTGCGGGCGGCGGGAGGCGCCGCGCATTCCAGCACACCCCGCCCGCAGCGCCGCCAGCGCCGCCCGGCACCGCCCCCCCGCCCCGCCCGCCCGCCGGCCCCCGCCCCCGCGCGGCCCGCCCCGCCCCTGGCGGTGGCCGGGGCGTCAGGCCTGGCGGGCGTTCGGGCAGCTGGCGGCGTGATCGGCGGGGCGGCGGGAGTGAGGGTGACAGGGACCTGCGGGTTGCGGCGGGGCCATGGGGGGTGATGGATGGGACGGTGGGAGTGGGGGTAAAAGGGACCTGCAGGGTCAGGCGGGGCGATGTGGGGGTGATGGATGGGACGGTGGGAGTGGGGGTGACAGGGATCTGCAGGGTGAGGTGGGACGATGTGGGGGTGATGGATGGGACAGTGGGAGTGGGGGTGACAGGGACCTACAGGGTGCGGGGGGGCTATGTGGGGGTGATGGATGGGATGGCGGGAGTGGGGGTGACAGGGACCTGCAGGGTGAGGTGGGGCGATTTTGGGGTGATGGATGGGACGGCGGGAGTGGGGGTGACAGGGACCTACAGGGTGCGGGGGGCTATGTGGGGGTGATGGATGGGACGGCGGGAGTGGGAGTGATAGGGACCTGCTGGGTGCGGGGGGGGCTATGTGGGGGTGATGGATGGGACGGTGGGAGTGGGGGTGACAGGGACCTGCTGGGTGTGGCGGGGCGATGTGGGGGTGATGGATGGGACGGCGGGAGTGGGGGTGACAGGGATCTGCAGGGTGAGGTGCGGCGATGGATGGGGCTGATGGATGGGACGGTGGAAGTGGGGATGACAGGGACCTGCAGGGTGAGGCGGGGCGATGTGGGGGTGATGGATGGGACAGCGGGAGTGGGGGTAACAGGGACCTGCAGGGTGAGGCGGGGCAATGTGGGGGTGATGGATGGGATGGTGGGAGTGGCGGTGATAGGGACCTACAGGGTGCGGGGGGCTTAGGGGGGGGTGATGGATGGGACGGTGGGAGTGGGAGTGATAGGGACCTGCAGGGTGCGGGGGGCTATGTGGGGGTGATGGATGGGACGGTGGGAGTGGGGGTGACAGGGACCTGCAGGGTGTGGCGGGGCGATGTGGGGCTGATGGATGGGAGGGCAGGAGTGGGTGTGACAGGGACCTGCAGGATGAGCGGGGCGATGTGGGGGTGATGGATGGGACGGCGGGAGTGGGGGTGACAGGGACCTGCAGGGTGAGGCGGGGCGATGTGGGGGTGATGGATGGGACAGTGGGAGTGGGGATGACAGGGACCTGCAGGGTGAGGCAGGGCGATGTGGGGGTGATGGATGGGACGGTGGGGGTGACAGGGACCTGCAGGGTGAGGTGGGACGATGTGGGGGTGATGGATGGGACAGTGGGAGTGGGGGTGACAGGGACCTGCAGGGTGAGGCGGGACGATGTGGGAGTGATGGATGGGACGGTGGGAGTGGGGGTGACAGGGTTCTGCAGGGTGAGGTGGGGCAATGCAGGGGGTGATGGATGGGATGGTGGGAGTGGGGGTGACAGGGACCTGCTGGTTGCGGCGGAAGGATGTGGGGATGATGGATGGGACGGTGGGAGTCGGGGTGATAGGGACCTGGAGGATGAGTCGGGAGGATGTGTGGGTGATGGATGGGACGGTGGGAGTGGGGGTGATAGGGACCTGCAGGGTCACGTGGGGTGATGTGGGGATGATGGATGGGATGGTGGGAGTGGGGGTGATACGGACCTGCAGGGTGAGGCGGGGCGATGTGGGGGTGATGGGTGGGCCGGTGGGGTGGGAGTGGAATCAGTGAGGTCTGTCAGGGGCGCCTGGACATAAATGGGAGTGGCTCAGGCCATTCTCTTCTTTAAGTTTTGTCTAATGGAGATTCAGTCCTGTCTGGAATATTGGTAGAGTGATAGCTGAGTGGTTTGAGCATTGGCCTACTAAACTCAGGGTTGTGAGTTCAGTCTTTGAGGGGGCCATTCTGCCACAGGCTGCTCTCCCAGCCAGTAGCACCCAGGAGATGATGACAGCTAGCAGTTGTACTGCACTGTCTGCTGCCAGCCTACCCCTCGCTCCGTGAAAGCAATGGCCAACAATAGTTTCACGCCTTTTTTTTCGTGCAGGTGCCATACTGCTGTCAGCATTGTCATCCACCCACCACTTCCGCTGCCACTCTGCTCTCTTGCAGACGCCATACCACGGCAAGCATGGAGCCCGTTCAGATCACCGCAGCAGTTATGACGGCTCTAAACACCACGCGCATTATCCAGCAGTATATGCAGAACCAGAACCTGCAAAAGCAGGTGAGTAGGCAACGACAGCGCAGTGAGCAGAGTGATGAGGACATGGACAAAGACTTCTCTGAAAGTATGGGCTCCGGCAGTGTGGACATCATCGTGGTAATGGGGCAGGTTCATGCCGTGGAACACCGATTCTGGGCCCAGGAAACAAGCACAGATTGGTGGGACCGCATAGTGTTGCAAGTCTGGGATGATTCCCAATGGCTGCAAAACTTTCGCATGCGTAAGGGCACTTTCATGGAACTTTGTGACTTGCTTTCCCCTGCCCTGAAGCGCCAGAATACCAAGATGAGAGCAGCCCTCACAGTTCACAAGCGAGTGGTGTTAGGCCTGTGGAAGCTTGCAACGCCAGACAGCTACTGATCAGTCGGGAATCAATTTGGAGTAGGCAAATCTACTGTGGGGGCTGCTGTGATCCAAGTAGCCAACACAATCACTGAGGTGCTGCTACTAAGTGTAGTGACTCTGGGAAATGTGCAGGTCATCGTGGATGGCTTTGCTGCAATGGGATTCCCTAACTGTGATGGGGCAATAGACGGAACCGATATCCCTGTCTTGGGACCAGAGCACCAAGGCAGCGAGTTCATAAACCGAAAGGGGTACTTTTCAACGGTGCTGCAAGCACTGGTGGATCACAAGGGACGTTTCACCAACATCAACGTGGGATGGCCAGGAAAAGTACATGACACTTGCATTTTCAGGAACTCTGGTCTGTTTCAACAGCTGCAGCAAGGGACTTTCTTCCCAGACCTGAAAATAACCGTTGGGGCCCAGCCTACCCGTTAATGCTATGGCTCATGAAGCCATACACAGGGAGCCTGGACAGTAGTCAGGAACTGTTCAACAATAGGCTGAGCAAGTGCAGAATGGTAGTAGAATGTGCATTTGGACATTTAAAAGTGCGCTGGTGCAGTACACTGACTCGGTTAGACCTCAGCGAAACCAATATTCCCATTGTTATTACTGCTTGCTGTGCACTCCACAATATCTGTGAGAGTAAGGCGGAGACATTTATGGCGGGGTGGGAGATTGAAGAAAATCGCCTGGCTGCTGATTACGTGCAGCCAGACAACAGGGCGGTTAGAAGAGTACAGCAGGGTGCGGGTGCGCATCAGAGAAGCTTTAAAAACCAGTTTCATGACTGGACAGGCTACAGTGTGAACGTTCTGTTTGTTTCTCCTTGATGAAAACCCACGCCGCTTGGTTCACTCTACTTCCCAGTAAGCTAACTCCCCTCCCCTCCCCCCTTCAGTCACCGCTTGCAGAGGCAATAAAGTCATTGTTGCTTCCAATTCATGCATTCTTTATTAATTCACCACAAATAGGGGGATAACTGCCAAGGTAGCCCGGGAGGGTTGGGGGAGGCGGGAAGGACAGGGCCACACTGCAATTTAAAACTTATTGAATGCCAGTTTTCTGTTGCTTGGGCAGTCCTCTGGAGTGGAGTGGTTGGGTGCCCAGAGGCCACCCCTCCCTGCTGCGTTCTTGGGTGTCTGGGTGAGGAGGCTGTGGAACTTGGGGAGGAGGGCGGTTGGTTACACAGGGGCTGTAGCGGGGGTCTGTGCTCATGCTGCCTTTCCTGCACCTCAACCATGTGCGAGAGCAAATCAGTTTGATCCTCCAGTAGCCTCAGCATTGACTCCTGCCTTCTGTCAGCAAGCTGACACCACCAATCATCTTCAACCTGCCACTTATTATCTTCAACCTACCACCTGTTCTCGTGTTCATATTGTGCTTTCCTGGACTCTAACTTTGTCTGCCTCCACGCATTCTATTGGGCTCTTTCAGTGTGGGAGGACTGCATGAGCTCAGAGAACATTTCATTGCAAGTGCGTTTTTTTCGCCTTTTGATCTTCGCTAGCCTCTGGGAAGGAGATGATAGTGTGAGCGTTGAAACATTTTCAGCTGTGGGAGGAAAAAAAAGGGAGAGTAGTAGTTAAAAAGATACATTTTAGAGAACAATGGGTAGACTTTCAGGGTGAACCTTGCTGTTAACATTACATAGCACATGTGCATTCGGTACAAGGTCGCATTTTGCCTCTTATATTGAGGGTCTGCTGGTTTGGTTTGAGAGATCGCACACGCAGGGCTGACGGGCAACAGAATTCGGCTTGCAGGCAGCCGTGGTAAGCCACAGTCTTTTGGCTTCTTTAACCTTCATAACGTGGGAATGGTTTCAAACAGCAGCGCCCTTATTTCCCATACCAAGCAGCCGTTGGGTTGGCCATTTAAAATGGGTTGGCAATTTAAAAGGAGGGACTGCGGTTTTCGGGTTCACGTGCAGCACAAACCCAACTAACCCCCCCCCCCCACACACACACACAATTCTCTGGGATGATCACTTCACCGCTCCCCCCACCGCGTGGCTAACAGCGGGGTAGATTTCTGTTCAGCCACAGGCAAACAGTCCAGCAGGAATGGCCACCTCTGAATGTCCCCTTAATAAAATTACCCTATTTCAACCAGGTGACCATGAATGATATCACTCTCCTGAGGATAACACAGAGAGATAAAGAACGGATGTTGCTTGAATGCCAGCAAACACCGGGACCATACACTGCCATGCTTTGTTATGCAATGACTCCAGTCTATGTGCTACTGGTCTGGCGTGGTAAAGTGTCCTACCATGGAGAACGGAATAAGGCTGCCCTCCCCAGAAACCTTTTGCAAAGGCTTTGGGAGTACATCTAGGAGAGCTTTATGGAGATGTCCCTGGAGGATTTCCACTCCATCCCCAGACACGGTAACAGACTTTTCCAGTAGCTGTATTGGCCGCAAATTAATCACGCTTGCTTTTAAATCCTGTATTATATTTACAAAGGTACACTCACCAGAGGTCCCTTCTCTGCCTGGCGGGTCCAGGAGCCCACCTTCGGTGGGTTAGGGGGGTACTGGCTCCAGGTCCAGGGTGAGAAACAGTTCCTGGCTCTCGGGGAAAACGGTTTCCCCACTTGCTTGCTGTGCGCTATCTTCAACCTTCTCCTCATCCTCATCTTCCTGTTTGGATATAGATATTCAGGCCTGTCTGTAAAGGCCTATACTCTAAGAATGTAAGTGTATTCTTATCACTTGGCTAGTTATAGGGATATAAAAGAAAGAATCAAAATCACTGTCTGCCGGTGTAAGGGCCTTCTCTTACTGTGACAATCTGAGGCCCTGATCTTAGGCTAAGGCCTTTGGCTAAGCAACAGAGGCAGCCATAAGCTGGGAAGCGACCGGTCACATCCTCACATTCCAAACTAGTCACATTGAAATAAGGTGCTATTGGGCTGTTAGGAATACAATCCTGTACTGATAATGCCCATCACCTCCAGAGAAAGGGAAGTGTCTAGAAAATGTAAAAGGAAACTTAGTTTGATAGCATCCTGTCTGGCAAGAACTCACTTATCAATAGCTGGGATGTGAAATCCTCACTTCTGTACTTTTTTGTCATTATAGTTCCCACTTTGCTATTGTTTGTCTGTATAATCTCTGTCAGGTTCTGTGATTGTTTCTGTCTGCTGTATAATTAATTTTGCTGGGTGTAAACTAATTAAGGTGGTGGGATATAATTGGTTACATAATCATGTTACAATATGTTAGGATTGGTTAGTTAAATTTCAGGAAAATAATTGGTTAAGGTATAACTAAGCAGAACTCAAGTTTTACTATATAGTCTGCAGTCAATCAGGAAGTGAGTGGGTGTGGGTGTGGGGAGGGGAATGGGAACAGGGAATGGGGGTGGGGAAATTGGAATCATGTATGGCTAAAGGGGGAAATGGGAACAGGGAACGGGGGTAAGGAAATTGGAATCATGTTTAGCTAAGGGCAGGAATGGGAACAGGGACACAGGTGTAAGGCTCTGTGGTGTCAGACCTGGGAAGGGGGACACTAAGGAAGGAAACTGGAATCATGCTTGCTGGAAGTTCACCCCAATAAACATCGAATGGTTTGCACCTTTGGACTTCGGGTATTGTTGCTCTCTGTTCATGCGAGAAGGACCAGGGAAGTAAGTGGGTGAAGGAATAAGCCCCCTAACACTTCCTCGTCCCCAAAATGCGCTTCCCTGTTGTGTGATAATCCATCGATGGAGTCAAAACACGGGTGGGGTAGTGGTGGCTGTACCTCCGAGAATGGCATGCAGCTCATCATAGAAGGGCGTTCCAAAGAGGATGGATCTAGACTGTTCTCAGTGGTAGCAGATGGCAGAACGAGGAGTAATGGTCTCAAGTTGCAGTGGGGGAGGTTTAGGTTGGATATTAGGAAAAACTTTTTCACTAGGAGGGTGGTGAAACACTGGAATGCATTACCTAGGGAGGTGATGGAATCTCCTTCCTTACAAGTCTTTAAGGTCAGGCTTGACAAAGCCCTGGCCGGGATGATTTAGTTGGGGATTGGTCCTGCTCTGAGCAGGGGGCTGGACTAGATGACTTCCTGAGGTCCCTTCCAACGCTGATATTCTGTGATTCTATGATTCATGTCTGGGGCTCTGACCCGGAGCAGCCGTTTGCCTCTCTGTTTTTTTGGTAGGCTTGCCTGAGCTCCTTAAGTTTCATGTAGCGCTGCTGTGGGTCCCTGTTATAGCCTCCGTCCATCATGCCCTTGGAGATTTTTTCAAATGTTTGGGCATTTCGTCTTTTGGAATGGAGTTCTGATAGCACGGATTTGTCTCCCCATACAGCGATCAGGTCCCGTACCTCCCGTTTGGTCCATGCTGGAGCTCTTTTGCAATTCTGGGATTCCATCATGATCACCTCTGCTGATGAGATCTGCACTCACCTGCAGCTTACCATGCTGGCCAAACAGGAAATGAGATTCCAAAGTTTGCAGGCCTTTTCCTGTCTACCTGGCCAGTGCATCTGAGTTGAGAGTGCTGTCCAGAGCGGTCACAATGGAGCACTCTGGGATAGCTCCCGGAGGCCAATACTATCGAATTGAGACCACATTACCCCCAATTCGACCCGGCAAGGTTGATTTCAGCACTATCATAGAATCATAGAATATCAGGGTTGGAAGGGACCTCAGGAGGTCATCTAGTCCAACCCCCTGCTCAAAAGCAGGACCAATCCCCAATTAAATCATCCCAGCCAGGGCTTTGTCAAGCCTGACCTTAAAAACTTCTAAGGAAGGAGATTCCACCACCTCCCTAGGCAACGCATTCCAGTGTTTCACCACCCTCCTAGTGAAAAAGTTGTTCCCAATATCCAACCTAAACCTCCCCCACTGCAACTTGAGACCATTACTCCTTGTCCTGTCCTCTTCCACCACTGAGAATAGTCTAGAACCATCCTCTCTGGAACCACCTCTCAGGTAGTTGAAAGCAGCTATCAAATCCCCCCTCATTCTTCTCTTCTGCAGACTAAACAATCCCAGTTCCCTCAGCCTCTCCTCATAAGTCATGTGTTCCAGACCCCTAATCATTTTTGTTGCCCTTCGCTGGACTCTTTCCAATTTATCCACATCCTTCTTGTAGTGTGGGGCCCAAAACTGGACACAGTACTCCAGATGAGGCCTCACCAATGTACACTAATCCCCTCATCGGGGGAGGAGTAAAGAAATCGATTTTAAGAGCCCTTTAAGTCGAAGTAAATGGCTTCGTCATGTGGACAGGTGCAGGGTTAAATTGATCTAATGCTGCTAAATTCAACCTAAACTCGTAGTGTAGACCAGGGCTATGTGTCAGGGTGTGATAGGGACTCTGAGGTGGAGAGGTCTCATGTGATAGTGGGGTAGGGTTTGCAGGGTGCTGCTGTGGTTTTGGGCCTGCACACACAGTGAGTTGAGCACCGGTAGAAAGGGATGTTTGTGAAGTGCTAGGTCACCCACATCCTTCACGGGAACCCAGTCCCATATAGAGAGGAATGGCCCCGGTGTAGGAAGGGACATACCAAGGGATCCAGTTACAGCATGCTAATCAGGCTCCCAACAGAGTTACATTGCTGCTTTGTCTGGCAGTGAAGATGGGATTGAGCATTGGTAGCATTGTAGATAGGGGTACCATTTTAGATTTGGGGGCGGGGGCAGCTTTAACTGTGATTCCAGGGGCTACTTAGGTACCTGAAAACTCTAGGTTTTTTGCACATAACTTAGAAATTAGCTGACAGGAGCACTGTATCTAATTCCTATATAAAGAAAGAAAAAATATATACAAACACCAATTAAAGCCATATTTTAAATTTATATGTAAATTTAGAATAATCAAGAGAGAATACAGCAAGATATTCCCAATCCCAAATCCCAATTCAGGTATCAGTTTTGGAGCCTTAACACAGATATCAGAAACACAAGTTTGATACTTTGTACTCTATCTTTA